ATTAATAATAAATTTAATGAACGCAGTAAGACCTTGACTCTCGACATCCTTGACGTATAAGAAAAAAAAAATAAATAAAAAAATAAAATAAAATAAAAGTAGGAATTATTCATATGTGGTATTGGGAAAAAAGACTAGATTTTGAAAAAAGGATATAAAGCTAGAGTTGTTTACTGCACAAAATAGTGAGCTCACACTTGGCTGTCGAGTGTAATACCACAGAAAGTGCCAAGGTCTGAATTACTTTCATTGACGTAATGCTTTTTTTCCATTGAATGGTTGTTATGTCATTAAAAAAATCAATAACGTCAAACCCACCTATGCTATTCTCAGTATTGCTGTAATACGCGTTGACGATGGCAGACATGCCATGATAGATCCACTCGCTCTTGTTGACCGGCTTCCTCAATATCTCGAAGGCATACTCAGTTCCAAACAGCGTCAGATTAAGGGCACTTTCGAGGTAACTGCCCGATGAAATCTCCAGCTTTTCGTAGAACTTCTCGAGCTTTTCGTCGTCGAACAGCTCTTCCGGATACGCTATGTGGGTTGTCATGGATTTGGCCTTATCCAGGGCAGCCTCTCTCGTTTTGTTGTCCATCCAGTCGATCTTTAATCCATCAGTTACATAACATATTTTATTTTCTGTTGTCAATAAAATTTTGATAACTTAAAATAGATTTTTGTACTGACTGTGTGCAGGATTTTTATGAACTCATTTCTGATGTCTGATACCATCTCGACGACGGTCGATTTTGCATCCTTGTTAAAGTACTTTCGTACGTAGAGCGCGCCTACACTTATAAGTAAATCATCACTTGCAAAATCCATGCACTCCTTCCAACGTGGCTTGCGTTTTTTTATTCCTATCGTAGTAGAATAAGAATTTCAGTTTTCTCAATTTCATATTATTTGAAGTAAATTGTGAAAGCAACGCGAGTATATTTATAATTATTTTAAATGTTTATGTGACACACTCTAGTGCAAGATCAATATTTTTTACTTTTTACATGCATAAGAAAAAATAATCCGAAGAACAGCTGTGGCCTATTATAAATAAATATTTTGTATTTGGACAAAAAAATTCGTTTTACGGAAGCTATCACAGATGAACGTCTGTACGTGATAATAAACTGTTTACATTAGACAAAAGAGTGTAATACGAACAATTTATATTTTTAAGGAATCTAATACGTTACTACAAAATGCAGTTGTAAAGTGTAAGTTATAATAATCAAATTAAAGTAGTTAATTGTTTAAAGAATAAAATGAGCTTTCTTTTGTTTTTTGACCAACAACATTGTTTAAAAAGGAATAACATTTTTTTAACGTATTGTATGAGACGTCCAGCTTTTGTACATACGATTTTGTTGTATAATGTTTCTACAGATATAAACTTTACTGGTTAAAGCTAAATAACAGACTTTTTGTATTGTGAAACGTTTTGTGTAATTTTGATAACATGGCAATAAATATAAATGAATACTGATTATCTGCGGACCTAAAATTGTAGCTCTAACAGTTACATGCAAAACACTAATTTCCAAAAGCTTTGTAGTTTCCATTTTTACTGGCTGGATACCATTACAATGAAAAAAATTCAGATAATAAATCTCACCTTTGGTTATTTTATAAAATTCGAACGGCTGCTTCCTGATTTCGTCGTCGAGGTAATCAATAGAACTTTCAGCAACGCGCCACATTAAGTAGTTCGCCAGTACTCGTTTGGGCGTTTTCATAAGCAATTTTTCGAGTTCTGTGATGAAAGTTGGCACATTGACGACGACAACCTCATCCTCCGTGACGCTAGTTGTTGGTGCCAATATGGTGTTGAAGTACTCAATCCAAGGTATGGACGGGAATCGCTTGGACAGCTCGGCTATGGTCATTGCGTTGTACAGAGCCGTGATGTTGCGCCGTTTTTCACTCGGAAGTGAGATCTAAGAAAAATAATTTAGTTTTTTTTTTTTTTTTTTTTTTTTTTTTTTTTTTTTTTTTTTTTTTTTTTTTTTTTTTTTTTTTTAGGGAATTGAATATAACCAGATTCTACTTTTTTAATGTTTTTTGTTTTTTTATGATAACTCTGCTTCGAAAAAATAAATGAAAACGGTAAAGAAAAAAAAATTAAACAAACGAAACAAAATCTTAGACCCTTTTATGTTATACACAAAAGATGGTCAGTGTCACAAGTTATGAGCATTGAAAGTTCATGAATTTAAAAATTTTTTAGTTTTCGTAGTTTTCCCGGATTGTCATTTTGAACGTACACTATCTTGTTCATCGCTTAAAAAAGAATCCATGCTTATGCCAAGTGCTTCGTTTTTTTATTTTAAATGCTATGTGCGATATTGTATGACAAAATCATGATGAAAAAACTTTTGTTGTACGATTTCGTAATTATTTCATTTTTTTACTTATATTTTTTCTTGAATATTTTTAATTGAATACACTTCCTTTTATTTTGGCTTCTATTGTACAGTTTAAATACACAGTGTGTTTAAAAAGTATTTTTAAGGGTGTGGTCCTTTTTGAGTTCATGAAAAAATGGTACTCAGGTAAAAAAATTTCTATTGATTACTTAAGCTAAAAAAATCAATCAGTTTGTTTAATTATTTGTAGTTGGTATAATATTATCCACTATGTACGATACCCATAAAGTTGTGATGTGGATTAATTTTGTGTTTTCATAATTTTATATTTATGTCTGTCTGCTTTTGAGTAGTGAGCAAAGTCACGGTACCAATTTTCTTTTTACTGTATATATCCTCTGGATATAAGTTTTTTTGAATCAATAGTTTTTTTTTAAGTAATAGATTCTCTCATGGATAATTTATTAAAAACAACATTTTATAAAGCCTAAGGATTAATTTATCAATATTTAAAAGGTTTCTACATTTATGTAAAAAAATGAGTACAACTGATAAATTTATCACTGAAGAAAAAGTTGGATTATAATTGACATACTCTTCTATAGGGAAAAATTATATTTTTTCTAAAGTTACAAGTGTGATAATGCCTTTGCTTTAAAAAAATTAACTAAAAACATCTGCTGCCGTAAAAAAAATTTATTGGTAAAGTTCAAAATAATTTTCATTGGTTATAGTGCCAAAAAAATTTTTATTTCCAAAGCGTTTTTTTTTTTTTTCATATGA